TTCCAAATACACTGGGAGCTTTGGATGGAAAGCATATTGCTGTACGTGCCCCTCAGAACTCAGGCTCTCTATACTATAACTACAAGAACTTCTTTAGTATTGTGCTATTGGGCCTTGTAGATGCTGATTACAAGTTTATATATGTTTATGTTGGATGCAATGGCCGGATCTCTGATGGGGGAGTATTTTCTGGATGTTCTCTGGCAGAAGCGCTGAACAGACGATTGGCAAATAAACCAGAGCCGACACAACTTCCTGGTGGAGAGAGCCCAGTGTCATACCACATTATTGGGGATGATGCCTTCCCCCTACGAGATGATCTAATGAAGCCATTTCCATTCCGAAACATGAACAAAGAACAGGATGTCATGGTTTAAGTTTATTTCCTGTTTTATTTTGAAATGTGTTATCCCTGTGTCTTCTTTTGGTTGTACTTCCTGTTGTCTGATGACCTGCCCTCATCTGTCTCACCTGTGTCTCGTTAGTCTTGTATTTAGCCCTGTGTGTTCCTTCACTCCCTGTTCTGTCATTGTCATTCCTCGTCTGTTTTAGTTCGGTCCTCGTTCCCTGTGTTTTTGGAAGTTTTGGTGTTTGCTTTTTATTAAATCCATTATTTGTTGCAGTTTTGCATTTTGGGTCTCATTTAATTTCACACACGTGACACAGGATTTACAACTATCGGTTGTCTCGAGCTAGGCGTGTGGTTGAAAATGCTTTTGGCATTTTGAGTTGTCGATTCAGAGTTTTTCTCAATACGATGTTCCTGGAACCAAATGTTGTGGAGAACATAGTTATGTGTGCATGTGCACTCCACAATTTCCTGATTGTGAAAAATGATGGACATTATCTGAGCCAAGGACTTGTGGACCAAGAATCGACAACACATGATGTAACCCCAGGGACCTGGAGAAATGACACACAACTACAGTCTAGTGGAATACATCACAGTATAACAATAGTGGTCAACAACCCAAATCAAAACGTGATGTGTTGATGGAGTTCTGTATGAGCCCAGCGGGTGCTGTTGATTGGCAAGAAAGTAAAATATAGACAATCTGATTGCATTCATGCTAATGTTGAAAAATGTAAATAAACACCATGTCAAATTCATTTCTGATTTGCTCTTTTTTTAATAAACATTTTCTTTTAAATTTGAACATCCATAAAAATCGTACCTGGAATGATGACTGTGTCTCCCTCGATTTCATGTAAGGCCGAAGAAACTCTAAATTCTTCACAATCCAGTGCTGGTGCTGTGTGAGGCCGCGTCTTCCACTTCCAGATGGTGGTGCTTTTGAGAGCCTGCTGAACTGGGTTCTCATATTCTTCATTTTTTTGGTGATATCATTGACTGTAAATATGAAAAAATAGAGGATTATAGTAAAAGGAATGTAATGTGTAACTAGTCATAACACTAGCATAATTTTGCATTGAAGGCCAACCCTATGAATAATTAAAACAAATAAAACAATCTTTTTACTAACAGGGTAGGCTATGCCTATAGGCTCATCTATTTAATGTAGAACAGACTGATTAGTGAGTGGCTACCTCGTCCTCGAGGCGGGCATGCTTGATATCCAATGACAATGTGTGACAACAAACAGTAGGCTTATTTATGTCAAGTAGGGAGGCAACAATGAATCTGTTCATGTACTGCGTCCATCATATTGTAATAGTTCTGGGTTGTCTGTTTACAACCACAGGGAAGTGCTCTGGTTAAGGTAGAGAGTTTTACCGGGGGTGGGAGGCTTTTTCCCCGTGTTTACACGTCGGGAGTGTGTGTTGTGAGTTAAGCGTGAGCTGTGGCCAACAGCTTGTCCTAACAGTTTGTGAATAAAAGCATCTTGAAAAGCACTGTTCGAGCATTTCTTACCTGGGAGTATTACAATATGCATTGAATAGGCGAGTCACGAATAAATGGAATGGATGAATTGAACAGAAAAAAGTCGAGATGGAATTACCTGTTTTGCCGAGTCTAAAAGAAATTTCCTCCAGAGCCGCACGTTTAGTGTTCCTATTGGAGTATGCTTTGATTGATGTGTCAAAGAGACACGGTCTATCACGCCACATTTCCACGAAATCATCCTCCGCAATCTCCGTCCATTCATGTTCAGTCGCCATTTTACTTTGTTTTAGCGCAACAAGTCACGTGCAGGCGCCTACGTCACATGATAACACTCTCAACACATGTTGTGCGCCAGGAGCGCGCACATCGGGAGATATCTCAACTAGTTGCCGAAAAGTAGAACACAGGCAACTGACTGGAACTGGAGACCGACTGATCATCTCCAGTTGTAAGAGCGCGCACATCGACCGATTTCGGCAACTGATCATCTCCCACCATTTCCTCACAGTTGCCAAAAGCCGCTTTGCAACTAGTTGTCTCCAGTTTCTCTGTCGATGTACGCTAGGCTTAAAGATGTTGTAGGACTGTCTTGGCTGACACGTCTCTGCAACATCGCGTGGCGATTGGGGGCGGTGCCAATGGAGTGGCAGACCGGGGTGGTGGTCCCTCTCTACAAGAAGGGGGACCGGAGGGTGTGTTCCAATTATCGTGGGATCACACTCCTCAGCCTCCCTGGTAAGGTCTACTCCAAGGTACTGGAGAGGAGGCTACGTCCGATGGTCGAATCTCGGATTCAGGAGGAGCAGTGTGGTTTTCGTCCCGGTTGCGGAACACTGGACCAGCTCTTTACTCTCCATCGGATACTCGAGGGTTCATGGGAGTTCGCCCAACCTGTCCACATGAGCTTTGTGGATTTGGAGAAGGCGTTCGACTGTGTTCCCCGGGGTGTCCTTTGGGGGGTTTTCCGGGAGTACGGGGTCCTCTGCTGAGGGCCATCCGGTCCCTGTATGATCGGAGCCAGAGCTGTGTTCGCATCAGCAGTAAGTCAGACCTGTTGGCCTCCGCCAGGGCTGCCCTTTGTCACCGGTTCTGTTCACTGTGTTTATGGACAGAATTTCTAGGCGCAGCCAGGGGCCGGAGGGGGTCCGGTTCGGGGACCTAAGGATTTCATCTCTGCTGTTTGCGGATGATGTTGTCCTGTTGGCTCCAACGAACCAGGACCTGCAGCATGCACTGGGACGGTTTGCAGCCGAGTGTGAAGCGGCTGGGATGAGAATCAGCACCTCCAAATCCGAGGCCATGGTGCACGACCGGAAAAAGGTGCCGTGCCCTCTCCAGGTGGGTGGAGAGGTCCTTCCTCAAGTGGAGGAGTTCAAGTATCTCGGGGTCTTGTTCACGAGTGAGGGAAGGATGGAGCGTGAGATTGACAGGCGGATCGGTGCAGCGTGCGCAGTGATGCGGTCGCTGTATCGGACCGTTGTGGTAAAGAGGGAGCAGCGTCTGCAGTCAGAGCTGTATCGGACTGTTGTGGTAAAGAGGGAGCTGAGCCGAAAGGCAAAGCTCTCAATTTACCGGTCAATCTTCGTTCCCTCCCTCACCTATGGTGATGAGCTTTGGGTAATGACCGAAAGAACGAGATCGCGGATACAAGCGGTCGAAATGAGCTTCTTCCGCAGAGTGGCTGGGCGCTCCCTTAGAGATAGGGTGAGGAGCTCAGTCACACGGGAGGAGCTCGGAGTAGAGCCACTGCTTCTCCACGTCGAGAGGAACCAGTTGAGGTGGCTCGGGCATCTGTTCTGGATGCCTCCTGGACGCCTCCCTGGGGAGGTGTTCCGGGCACGTCCCACCGGGAGGAGGCCCCGGGGAAGACCTAGGACAACCCCTTGGGGTCCCCCCAGACGAGCTGGAGGAGGTGTGTGTGGATAGGGAAGTCTAGGCGTCTCTGCTTAGACTGCTGCCCCCGCGACCCGGCAATGAATGAAGCGGAAGAAAATGGATGGATGGATGGACATACATATTCTCACATACTTATACACACAGCTGCTTAATTGCCGTACTTTGGCCGCTCTTTGTGATTGGCCGAGGGACAAAGGGGCGGGCTCTGATGGGCTGCAGCAGGAGTCTACCAGACTGAACTTCCACAAGCTGCTTTTGAGTTTGTTTTTATAGATTTGGTGAAAGTAACTTAAAGTAATGCAGTATTTTATGATTTATACATTTTAAGCCGGAATACAAACTTATATTGTGTTTTTTGTTCTTGACGTGGGTTCTCTGTGGTTATTTTTATATTTTTATTTTTATGGAAAATAGACTAAATGAATCCTCTACAATGTGGATATTTCTTCGTATCTTTTCTAACCATCGTTCCACCTCCGTCAGCTCACGACGGTTCATTAAAATGTATATTCCTTTCTTGGGCAGAACATATTAAAGCAACGGCTCAATGTCCTGAACACGGACACGCCCACAAACGCAAAGAATTCTGGGAAAATGACCCAAATGAGTGTGAGTAATAGTCATTACAGAGAGTGGATTTATTAGATCATTAATCACAGAGAGAGAGATACAAACGGTCTGAACTGAAATCAATGAGTTTGTTACGGTTTCTGCTGAGAGAGAGAGAGCAGATATAGAGACCAGAGAGAGACCAGAGGGAGAGAGAGCAGCAAGAGAGACCAGAGAGAGACAGAGCAGAGAGTGACCAGAGAGAGACCAGAGAGAGAGAGAGCAGAGAGAGAGACCAGAAAAAGACCAGAGAGAGACCTGAGAGAGAGATAGCAGAGAGAGACGAGAGAGACTAGGGAGTGACCAGAGAGAGAGAGACCAGAGAGAGAGGGACCAGAGAGAGACCAGGGAGAGAGAGAGAGAGACCAGAAAGAGACCTAAGAGAGAGCGGAAAGAGACCAGAGAGAGAGATCCTAGAGAGCCCATGGAGAGGGACCAGAGAGAGAGAGACCAGACAGACACCAGCAAGAGAGACCAGAAAGAACAGAGAAAGACCAGAGAGAGACTAGAAACTAATCATATTTGGGTATTAACATTCGTGGCCTTTGTAAGTCTAGAATTCCTCTAAAACCATGTTTTCTCAGTCTCTCGGTTCTGTCTGCTGCGTTTCTTGAATCAGGTCGTGTGTTTCTGTTTTGCACAGATGCAGATGACACGCTACAGCGAGCACACAGCAGGCTCCTGGACTGACTCTAAAGTGCTGCGTCCTCACTGCCAGGCCCCGCCTTCAGGAGCCGCTCCAGGTCGGTCCGAGACCGAAGGAGCCATGAGACTGAAAGACAAGATACCAGAATATAGTGTAAGAAAGAGAGAATATTCTACTTGTCTTCTTTGTAAAATTATAAGTATTTAATTGGTCTTTACCAGAGCACATCCAGGAGAGGACACTGAGCAGCTTCACACCTGTGCTCACATTAACAATGAACTGGACTGGTCCATAATACCAACGCCCTGGACAGGACGGGCCAAAGTCACCTCTTCCTTCTGAGGAGACTGAGGTCCTTCTGAGGCGGCTGAGGTCCTTCTGAGGAGGCTGAGGTCCTTCTGAGGAGACTGAGGTCCTTCTGAGGAGGCTGAGGTCCTTCTGAGGAGGCTGAGGTCCTTCGTAGGAGACTGAGGTCCTTCTGAGGAGGCTGAGGTCCTTCTGAGGAGACAGGTCCTTCTGAGGAGGCTGAGGTCCTTCTGAGGAGGCTGAGGTCCTTCTGAGGAGACTGAGGTCCTTCGTAGGAGACTGAGGTCCTTCTGAGAAGGCTGAGGTCCTTCTGAGGAGTCTGAGGTCCTTCTGAGGAGGCTGAGGTCCTTCTGAGGAGGCTGAGGTCCTTCTGAGGAGGCTGAGGTCCTTCGTAGGAGACTGAGGTACTTCTGAGGAGACTGAGGTCCTTCGTAGGAGACTGAGGTCCTTCTGAGAAGGCTGAGGTCCTTCTGAGGAGGCTGAGGTCCTTCTGAGGAGACTGAGGTCCTTCTGAGGAGGCTGAGGTCCTTCTGAGGAGGCTGAGGTCCTTCGTAGGAGACTGAGGTCCTTCTGAGGAGGCTGAGGTCCTTCTGAGGAGGCTGAGGTCCTTCGTAGGAGACTGAGGTCCTTCGGAGGAGGCTAAGGTCCTTCGGAGGGAGCAGGCCTCTGCCTCTGCCATACACTACGCTGCCGTGTGCTGGGCCCTGGGCAGCACAGAGCGGGACAGGAGCAACTGAACAAGCTGGTCAGGAGGAGGTGAGGGACAGGAGGCCCCTGGACTCTGTGGAGGAAGTGAGGGACAGGAGGCCCCTGGTCTCTGTGGAGGAGGTGAGGGACAGGAGGCCCCCGGTCTCTGTGGAGGAGGTGAAGGACAGGAGGCCCCTGGACTCTGTGGAGGAGGTGAGGGACAGGAGGTGCTAGTCAAAGTCACCTCCTTCATGAACAACACCTCCCACTGCACAGTACTGAGGAGGAGCTGAGGAGCTCCTTCAGTGGAAGAAGGAGCAGGGCCTTTATCCCCACCGCTGTCAGACTGTACAACAAGTCACTTTAAGTCACTGTATAAGACTGAAACACCTGCACTACTATTGTCACTGTTTCTTGATAGTCACTTTTTATTGTACGTAATAAATCCTGCTTTAACATGTTGCACATTTCTGTCTTTTGCACAGTCTGAGTGTTTCTGTCCAGATGTGACCTGTACGCTTCTCCAGAGATCAATGAAGTCGATCTTATCTTATCTCAATACTTATGTTGGTCTAGCTGCATGTGGAGCCCCCTGCTGGAGAAGTGTGGTAACTTTGTACTTCATCTGTCGCCATTTTGATTTGAGCTGTCTCAGTCCTGGGTCTACAGCCTCAGTCCTAGATCTACAGCCTCAGTCCTGGGTCTACAGCCTCAGTCCTGGGTCTACAGCCTCAGTCCTGGGTCTACAGCCTCAGTCCTGGATCTACAGCCTCAGTCCTGGGTCTACAGCCTCAGTCCTGGGTCTACAGCCTCAGTCCTGGGTCTACAGCCTCAGTCCTGGGTCTACAGCCTCAGTCCTGGATCTACAGCCTCAGTCCTGGGTCTACAGCCTCAGTCCTGGGTCTACAGCCTCAGTCCTGGATCTACAGCTTCAGTCCTGGGTCTACAGCCTCAGTCCTGGGTCTACAGCCTCAGTCCTGGGTCTACAGCCTCAGTCCTGGGTCTACAGCCTCAGTCCTGGATCTACAGCCTCAGTCCTGGGTCTACAGCCTCAGTCCTGGGTCTACAGCCTCAGTCCTGGGTCTACAGCCTCAGTCCTGGATCTACAGCCTCAGTCCTGGGTCTACAGCCTCAGTCCTGACTTTTGATGTTCTCCTTAAGCCTACAGACTAAAATGAGACATGATAAAAGAGACGGAAAATGTAACCGCTGCCAGCCACGCTCTGACTGTCTCTCTCTTGAGCTGAGTCTCTCTCCTGAACCGGTCTCTCTCCTGAGCTGCTCTCTCTCCTGTGCTGAGTCTCTCTCCTAGCTGCTCTCTCTCCTCAGCTGGTCTCTCTCCTGAGCCGGTCTCTCTCCTGAGCTGCTCTCTCTCCACAGCTAGTCTCTCTCCTGAGCTGCTCTCTCTCCTGTGCTGAGTCTCTCTCCTAGCTGCTCTCTCTCCTCAGCTGGTCTCTCTCCTGAGCCGGTCTCTCTCCTGAGCTGCTCTCTCTCCACAGCTATTCTCTCTCCTGAGCTGCTCTCTCTCCTGAGCTGAGTCTCTCTCCTCAGCTGCTCTCTCTCCTCAGCTGGTCTCTTTCCTGAGCCGGTTTCTCTCCTGAGCTGGTGTGAATTTCCATCTCATTGAAACAAAACAAACTCCAGGAACAAGCCTCAGCAATTAGAAACCCTAAATGTAAATCACTCTCTGTTTTCTTTCCACCTCCCGGACTTCCCCCCTCCCCCCCCCCCCCCCTCTGTCACTGGGGGGAGACAGGCGGGAGAAATAAGTGGCCTTTGCATTCAATTATGGATCATGTTTAAATCCTTCAAGCTGAAAATAAGAACACAAAGAATGAAGGCGGATGGACACACACACAGACACACGCAAACACACACACACACACACACACACACACACACACACACACACACACACACACACACACACACACACACAGTTTTGGAAATCTGAGCTCTGGAGCGGGGCCAAGTTCAGCTGCAATCACGGCTTTATGTTTTGTATGTGCTGATGTGGCATGGAGACACCAGCAGGGGGCGCATGCTGGTTAGCTCTCTCTCTGATCTCTCTCTCTGGCCTCTCTCTCTGGTCTCTCTCTGCTCTCTCTTGTCTCTCTCTGGTCTCTCTCTGCTCTCTCTTGTCTCTCTCTTGTCTCTCTCTGGTCTCTCTCTAGTCTCTCTCTGGTCTCTCTCTGGTCTCTCTCTGGTCTCTCTCTGGTCTCTCTCTGGTCTCTCTCTGGTCTCTCTCTGGTCTCTCTCTGGTCTCTCTCTGGATTTAGGCTGTAGACCCGGACTCTTCGGCCTTTTAATTTGGGTTTAAATCCCTGGCCTTTATGGTTGCATGTTGTTTACATTATTCTACAGATTAAAGCAATATGTAAGATTTTCATGTTGGGTCATCATTAAAGGGCCCTAATCTGTCATCATTAAAGGGCCCTAATCTGTTGTCATTAAAGGGCCCTAATCTGTTGTCATTAAAGGGCCCTAATATGTCATCATTAAAGGGCCCTAATCTGTCATCATTAAAGGGCCCTAATCTGTCATCATTAAAGGGCCCTAATCTGTCATCATTAAAGGGCCCTAATCTGTCATCCTTAAAGGGCCCTAATCTGTCATCATTAAAGGGCCCTAATCTGTCATAATAATAAACTGCTCTTTAACTGAAAACAGTAGTTCAGAGATATTTGAATTTCTAAATTACTTTTCCAGCCCCTAAATCTTGTTATTGTTCTCATTTCGATGTCCCGCCCTCCACCGTTTCACCAATCAGAAAGTCTGTTGCCGCTTTTCCACAGTGTCAGTTCAGTTCGTTTCAGCACGGTACGGCGCGCTCATTTTGCATTTCCACTAGGGATAGTCCGGGACTTTGCGTTACTTTTTTGCAACACCTCGACTGCGGTTCCATCCCCATAGCACCGGTACCATGACGTGACGTCGGCCCACTGCCTTACTCTGATTGGTCGACGAGTGTCGTCACTGGAAGCGACACTCGTCGCTCTGCTCTGCTCTGCTTTGGCTACATTACGTCCTCCTCACTCCAGAGAAATGGAATCGCACAGAAAGCCCCAAAAGTCCTGGTCCTGGTCGGTGGACGAGGTCCACACGTTCCTCTCTTCAGGCCGAAAGAAAGAATTCAAAGGCAGCTCGAGGCTCAACACAGTTTTCAGGGAGATCGCTCTGGATTTGTGACTAGTCTGTGGTAATCCTGGAAATAACTGGTTAGCTACGAATCCCGTTAAAGCTCTCACTGAAATGTATTTACTGTGTAAATGTTCGATTGTCTGTTGTACACAGTGAGCTAGCCACATGTAGCTTAATTTAGCTATCGATAGCAGCTAAGCTAACGTCCTCCCTGTGCTACTGTGCTTTATCTCGTATTATCTGCAGTATTCACGTGTTTCTGTTTTATGTTTGTTTTAAGTTGTTGTGTGTATATTTGTTTTTAGAATCCCTTTCCATAAGTGTGGAGATTACCAACGAGTAATGAGTGACCGGAGTATTCTCATCTGGACCTGGTCTCAGACATACGTACTTTTGACTTTGTAAACTGTTGGTTTTGCACTTTACTTTTGTTTTCAATAAATCTGTGATTGTATCAAGTGTTTCCTTAATTTATTATAATTGTAGCTGAGGTTTGGGCATCGATTGTTTGTCTGGTCTCGGAGTCTGCTGTAGTCTAGCAGACTACCTAGCTTAGCCTAGCCGCTAACTCGCTACCCCTATGGCTGCCGCTGTCTCTCCCTCGGTCCTTTACTGCTCGAGTTGCCTGATGACGAGTTTAAACCCTGGATCCTCCTCTGATGGCAGTGATATTTGTGTTAAGTGTAGTACAGTTGTAGCTTTGGAATCCAGGGTTAGTGAGTGAGCTGAGTCTCGAGCTAGCGCTAGCATTAGCTATAGCCTAGCAGTATCCTCGGACATGCAGCCCTCCTCCTCTGCTACACAGGCTGCTGTTGCTACAAGTCCATTCAGATTGTACAGAGCATTCAGCACCATTGACTTAGCAGTTTCCGAGTCATTCTTTTAAGACATAAGCATTTTCAAAAACTACTCGTGCTGTGCTGAATTTTCTGTGAAACACTTGCTGTTCGTCTGATATTATAATAAATCCATGCACCGCACCAGTACTAGTTATCCGTCACACGTAAATGACGTGGTCTGACAACGCTGAGGACATACTAGGGGTACTATTTTTGATGGAAAAGCACGCGAACTGGGCCATGGCGCGCCGTGTCGAGTCAAAACAAACCGTACTAGGACTGGGGAAAAGCTGCATACGATCCGGGCGCCAGAACTCACCGCGTGGAGCTAATCTCACTGGTAAAGTACCATGTGGCGCAGAACTAAAACAGGTCTCGTTATGATTCTCAAATCATTAACGACAAAACAAGGAATAAAACCAGGATTTCTATCTTTGTGAAAAAGGTGTTGGTTATAGATTTGTTGTTGACAAAACTCTTGTCTATTCAGCTGTTATGGTCCCAGCTGGATTCATCTGCATATCTGGCAACCTGAGTCAGGGAGAGTGGGAGAGGCTGCAGTACCACTTTTGGACACATTTTTACATATCGCTCGTTTAAGCCTCTCTTTTTTATGACACGGGTCTGAGGTGGGGGGGGGGTTTGCTTTAGCAGATGGCACGTTGTGTGTTCTTGCTTCTTGGCAGACGGAGCTCCTGAATATTGAAATGAGAAGCCAGACTGGATTTTTTGGAGGAAAATGTGTGAATTTTCTGTCACCTTCTTCTGTGTTTGTCGAATACAACAAATCATCTGAGACGGTGTTATGGAAAAGTCACTTCAGATCAAGAAAGAGACGGAGGAGATTCAGTCACTCTGGTCTCTCTCTGCCCTCTCTCTCTGGTCTTTCTCTCTGGTGTCTCTCTCTGGTGTCTCTCTGGTCTCTCTTTTTGGTCTCTCTCTGGTCTCTCTTTGCTCTCTCTTTGCTCTCTCTCTGGTCTCTCTCTGGTCTTTTTCTCTGGTGTCTCTCTCTGGTCTCTCTCTGGTCTCTCTCTGGTCTCTCTCTCTGGTCTCTCTCTGGTCTTTCTCTGGTCTCTCTCTGGTCTTTCTCTTGTCTTTCTCTGGTCTCTCTCTGGTCTCTCTCTGGTCTCTCGCTCTGGTCTTTCACTGGTGTCTCTCTGGTCTCTCACTGGTCTCTCTCTGGTCCCTCCCTGGTCTCTCTCTGGTCTCTCTCTGGTTTCTCTTTCTAGTCTCTCTCTGGTCCCTCCCTCCACTGGCTCTGTTAGTGGCAAAGGAGATGGCTAAAGCTAGGCTAATGCTAAAGCTAGGCTACATGCTAAATGCCTCATTCACTCGGGCTCATTACATACGTCACGGTAAACTCAGATCCAATCGTTTCCATCTGCAAAAGGAGTTAACCCCTCCCACCTGTTAATTGAGTCAATGGAGTCAATCCAGACCAGGATAAGACCAGACTAAGTTAGAGAGGATTTAGGTCACAAGATAAAGATGTCAGAACAAAAAAAACAATATTTTTGATAATTTGAGAGAGACTAAACCTCCTGGTCCCTGTGAGTGTTGTGTTCCCTCTTCCCACACCTCTCCCGCCGCTCCTCACGGTGTTGTTACGGTCCCAACACAGAGGCTCAGTTTCATACACATTGTTGCTGCACTTAAGAGCCGTAACTCGATCTCCTCGGAAACAGAAGGGCTTCAACCTCCGCTTGCGGGCAGAAGGGGGGGTGCCAGTCTCAGACACACTTTCGCAGCGTTGCGGCGTGCTGTGGCGGAGGCCCCGGGGTCGTGCTGATCGGGTTGCCAGAGCCTAAGGTATTGAATTCAAAACCGCATTTATTATCAGCAAAAAAGTGTTTCTTTCAATGAGTGATTGACTTTAATTATAGCTTCTATTCAGGAGGGAAACCAGGGAGAGAGACAGCAGGGAGAGAGACCAGGGAGAGAGACAGCAGGGAGAGAGACCAAGGAGAGAGAGACCAGGGAGAGAGACCAGGGAGAGAGAGAGACCAGAGAGAGAGAGACCAGGGAGAGAAACCAGAGAGAGAGAGACCAGGGAGAGAGACCAGAGAGAGAGACCAGGGAGGGCAAGACCAGGGAGAGAGACCAGGGAGAGTGGGACCAAGGATAGAGAGAGAGACCAGAGAGAGAGAGACCAAGGAGAGAGAGAGAGACCAAGGAGAGAGAGAGAGACCAGAGAGAGAGAGACCAGGGAGAGACTAGGAGAGAGAGAGAGAGAGACCAGGGATAGAGACCACTGAGAGGGACCAGGGAGAGAGAGAGAGAGAGACCAGGGAGAGAGACCAGGAGAGAGAGAGAGTGGGGAGGGATGGAGTAGAGTTTCTTTTACTTTTGAGGAACCAGAGCATACATTTGATAGATTTAGCCCCAGGAAGAAACGAGATCGAAGTCTTGAAACTTCATCTTCGAGGTTTTATGTTTCTGTGACCTACATTCTGTAAATATGTATCTGAGACAAACACACCAGACCAGGGAGAGAGACCAGGGAGAGAGACCAGGGAGAGAGACCAGGGAGAGAGACCAGAGAGAGAGAGACCAGGGAGAGACCAGGGAGAGAGACCAGGGAGAGAGACCAGAGAGAGAGACCAGAGAGAGAGAGACCAGAGAGCGACCAGGGAGAGAGACCAGAGAGAGAGACCAGAGAGAGACCAGGGAGAGAGACCAGGGAGAGAGACCAGGGAGAGAGACCCGGGAGAGAGACCAGGGAGAGAGACCAGGGAGAGAGACCCGGGAGAGAGACCAGGGAGAGAGACCAGGGAGAGAGACCAGAGAGAGACCAGGGAGAGAGACCAGAGAGAGAGAGACCAGGGAGAGAGAGACCAGAGAGAGAGACCAGAGAGAAACCAGGGAGAGAGACCCGAGAGAGAGACCAGGGAGAGAGACCAGAGAGAGAGAGACCAGAGAGAGACCATGGAGAGAGACCAGAGAGAAACACCAGGGAGAGAGACCAGGGAGAGAGATCAGGGAGAGAGACCAGAGAGAGACTAGGGAGAGAGACCAGGGAGAGAGACCAGGGAGAGAGAGACCAGAGAGAGAGACCAGGGAGAGAGACCAGAGAGAGAGACCAGGGAGAGAGACCAGAGAGAGAGACCAGGGAGAGAGACCAGAGAGAGAGAGACCAGAGAGAGACCAACGAGAGAGACCAGAGAGAGAGACCAGAGAGAGAGAGACTAGGGAGAGAGAGACCAGAAAGAGAGAGACCAGAGAGAGACCAGAGAGAGAGACCAGAGGAAGAGACCAGAAAGAGACCAGAGAGAGACACGAGAGGGAGAGAGACCAGTGGGAGAAACAAGAGAGATAAACCAGAGAGAGAGAGACCAGAGAGAGAAACCAGAGAGAGAGACCAGAGAGAGACCAGAGAGACAGACCAGAGAGAGACCAGTGAGAGAGACCAGAGAGAGACCAGAGAGAGAGACGAGAGAGAGACCAGAGAGAGAGACCAGAAAGAGACCAGAGAGAGACACCAGAGGGAAAAAGACCAGAGAGAGTTCTCTCTCTCTGCTCTCTCCCTGTGCTCTCTCTGTGCTCTCTCTGCTCTCTCCCTGTACTCTCTCTCTGTGTGCTCTCTCACCCGGGGGGAGGATGCTGAGGCAGATTCACATTTTTCCTTTTGGAGAGGTTTTGATGGGCCGCCCTGGGGGAGAGTTTGTGATGTCGCATGTTGTTTAGCTGCAGCTCCAAAGTCACCTGGTCCTTCAGACTGGCTCCACATTTAGACACATCCGTCATAAGAACAGAACGAGCCACGGTACGACCTCGGTCTCATTAGAGGAGATTTACAGGGGTACAGCGAGAGAGAGGAGACTGCAGTACCAGAGAGAGAAAGAGACCAGAGGTAGAGACTAGAGAGAGAGAGACCAGAGAGAGAGACCAGAGAGACCAGAGAGAGAGAGAGAGAGACCAGAGGGAGAGAGAGATCAAGAGAGAAAGACCAGAGAGAGAGAGTCAGAGAGATCAAGAGAGATTGAGACCAGAGGGAGAGACCAGAGAGAGACCAGAGGGAGAGACCAGAGAGAGACCAGAGGGAGAGACCAGAGAGAGACCAGAGGGAGAGACCAGAGAGAGACCAGAGAGAGAGACCAGAGGGAGAGAGAGACCAGAGAGAGGGACCAGAGGGAGAGAGACCAGAGAGAAAGAGACCAGAGGGAGAGAGAGACCAGAGAGAGAGACCAGACAGAGAGAGACCAGAGGGAGAGAAACCAGAGAGAGAAAGACCAGAGAGACAGAGACCAGAGAGAGAGACCAGAGAGAGAGAGAGAACAGAGGGAGAGAGAGACTAGAGGGAGAGAGACTAGAGGGAGAGAGACCAGAGGGAGAGAGAGACCAGAGAGAGAGACCAGAGAGACAGACACCAGAGGGAGAGACCAGAGGGAGAGAGACCAGAAGAAGCGAGAGAGACCAGAGAGACTAGGGCGAGACCGGAGAGCTGCTGTTTATTGGACAGAACTATAAAGTGTGATGACCAGATGACTCCTGCAGACCAGCGTCCCGGGGTCTCTCTCGTTCTCCTCTCTCTCTTTCTCTGCATTATGGATGAGGCAGTAAAGCGTTCAGAGGCACTTCCACAGAGCAGTTCAGGAGTTCAATACTGCTGCAGTTTATTCAGCTCTGGACTCTCCACAGTCATCTGCTCCACACACACACACACACACACACACACACACACACACACACACACACACACACACACACACACACACACAGACACACACACACACACACAGACACACACACACACCGACACACACAGACACACACACACACACACAGACACACACACACCGACACACACAGACACACACACACACACACAGACACACACACACACACCGACACACACAGACAAACACACACACACACATACCAGTCAGAGGAGACACAGGAGGGTTTCTCTCTTTGGTTACAGGTGATACATTTACCTTTATTTTAAACCTGCCGTCACTGTCCGTCCAGAGACAATGGAGGAGATGAGGAGAGAGAGCAGACGGAGAGTAGAGAGGAGAGGGAGAGAAGAGGGAGCAGAGAGGAGAGGGAGCGGAGAGAGAGAGTAGAATGAGAGGAGAGAGGGAATATCCTCAGGGTTCCAGCAGGAGGCCAGTCCCTGTGCTCCTCAGAGTCCCAGCAGGAGGCCAGTCCCTGTGCTCCTCAGAGTCCCAGCAGGAGTCCAGTCCCTGTTGACACTGAAACTCTACCAAACTAAACACTGATCGGTCCAGTCCAGGATTCATATGATTTAACAAAAAAAGCTAAACTTCCAAATGAGAAGCAGTCAAATTGACTGCTCTCTTCTCTTTGATCTTCATGGTTCTGTCTGATCACAACCGTCTGTTGATGGTTCATCAGAGGGTGAGGAGCGCCGCAGGAGGAGCCCCTGGACCGCGCCCCTCTGAGACCCCACTAAGGCTTCCTCCTCTTCCCTCCTCACCCTCCTCACCCCTCCTCTCCCCTCCTCTCCCCTCTCCTCTCCCCTCTCCTCTCCCCTCCTCACCCCTCTCCTCTCCCCTCTCCTCCCCTCTCCTCACCCCTCGCCCCTCGGCTACAGTGAGGAGCTCAGCGGGGGTCCGGTATGAGCTCCGCGGGCTGCGACACAAACACATAACTGGTGTGAAGATGTTCTTTTGTGTCTGTCCTGCTCCCACTGAACTCTGAGGGAGGGACCAGAGTGAGACCAGAGGGAGACCAGAGAGAGACCAGAGGGAGACCAGAGAGAGACCAGAGGAAGACCTGAGAGAGACCAGAGGGAAACCAGAGGGAGACCAGAGAGAGGCCAGGGAGAGACCAGAGAGAGACCAGAGTGAGACCAGAGAGAGACCAGAGACCAGAGAGAGACCAGAGAGAGACCAGAGAGAGACCAGAGAGAAACCAGAGAGACCAGAGAGAGACCAGAGAGAGACCAGAGAGAGACCAGAGAGAGACCAGATCACAACAAGAAGACTTTCCAAAGTTGTCGATTACTCAACAACTGATCAGAAAATCACAGTAAATATAACAAAACAAACAGGGACCGTAACAAGCCACGGCCGAGCACAGTTTCCCGGTGTTGTTACAGTCAGATCCCTGGATGTGTCGGTCTCGGGTGATGCTCTTGAGAGAGAGTAAAACATTTTGATTTCCATTTTTTTCTTATTCCTCAGCGCTTAGTTTGCATATTCTCCCCCTGCAGCAGAAAGCTATTAATGAGACAAGCAGGTCATTCCCAGAAGTGTGTGTGTGTGTGTGTCTGTGTGTGTGTGTGTGTGTGTGTGTGTGTGCACTTGTTTTCAACTCCTGGTGGGTTCCATAACCTGAGATTCCACTCACGTCATGGGGACTGGTTTTACGTGGTGGGGCCCGAACACCGGACCCCACTGGTCCAAGCTTAATAATCAATGGGTAATGCTTTTCTAACGGTCCTTATGCAGTCTCTGTAAAAATATGGAAAGGACCCCTGGAGGTTTACTTTCCTGAAAAAAGTGTGTTATGTGTCGGAACCCTGGTGGTGGGTTGCGGGATATCAAGGAGGGGCACACTGGGGCAATTTCAGTCCAGCAGGCTGGAGCCAATCATGGAGCAGCACAACAGAGGAAATCAGGTGTCAGGCTAGAAAAAGGTGCAAGTGTGTGGTTCATTAGGCTGCAAGAAATCATGGAGGAGCACACTGAAGCGCACGCTTACAAACCACTGGTAAGTGCTGACTACAAGTCATGACTTCAAATTGTTATATAGAATGATTACAAATTATTTGTTGTTTGTGCAGCTTAGTCAAGAGTTCCTAATTGATGAAGTCGACTCAGATTCTGACGATTTAACTGTCAAGAAGAAACCTGTAAAAAAGTATGGAAAAAGAAAAATCAAAAACACTTTTCTTCAAGACTCGGAAAGTGACGAACCAAAGGCAAATAAGATTGTTATCATGCAGCTGCAAAAGAAGAAAAATGGGGGGCGAGTATACAGCAAGAGACACTTCTGCCTCTACTGTTCAATGTCCTGCCACAAAATGTCCCGTCATTTGACTAGAAAACATGGAAATGAAAGTGACGTAGCCAGAGCATTGGCTCTACCTGTGAAATCTAAAGCACGTAAACTTCAGTTTGATTTGATCAGGAATAGTGGAAACCGTGAGCACAATTTTGAGGTTTTAAAGGCCGGCATTGGAACTTTAGTCCCAGCTAAACAGCCAAATTGCCCAGTTAAATCCAGTGAGTTTTTGCACTGTATAGACTGTGGGGCATTGCTTAAGCGAAAGTCGCTGTGGAGGCATGTGGCCAGGTGCCGGCTTTCACAGAAAGATGCCCAGGCTAAACCAGGTAGAAGTAGGGTCCAGTCCCTCTGCTCCCTAGCCCAGCCTGTACCGGAGGGCATCAGCAAAAAGCTGTGGTCTTTAATTTCGGCAATGCATCAGGATGAGGTCACGGGTGTTGTCAAAGCAGAAAAGGGGATTCTGAGACTCGGAGAGCACCTGTACTTAAAACACGGGCATGATAAGACAAAGCATGATTACATTAGGCAGAAAATGAGAGAAGTCGGTAGGTTAATTAACGAAGCAAAAACCGCAGGGAAACGTGAAAACAATTAAGGATTTCTTTATTCCTTCCAACTTTAACCATGTGATTGATGCAGTCAGGTCTGTGGCTGGATATGATGAGGAAACAAATCAATACAAGACTCCATCCTTGGCCCTCAAACTCGGCCATAGCCTCAGAAAGCTAGCAGATATTCTTGAATGTGACTCAAAAATGGAGCATTGTGTTGATGAACTATTTATTAAAAACCTCCAACGAAGCCGGCTGCTTTTTGAGAAGAGGTGGGACGTCTGTGTTTCTTCTGCTGCCCTACAGACCCTCCGGCAAGCCAAGTGGAACACTCCGGACCTGCTCCCTCTGACTGAGGACGTTAGAGCCATGCATGCACATATTGAGGTATGTCGACCTGAATATGTGCAAACCCTAATAAGTGAGCCAACGTCTAAGCATTGGTCTAAACTGGCAGTTTTGACTCTTTGTGAGGTCATCATTTTCAATCGAAGAAGGGAAGGTGAGGTTTCAAAGATGCCACTGACAGCCTTTACCTTAAGAAGTAAGACTGGGATCCATTCTGACATTGCTCTGGGACTGTCCCAACTTGAGAAAAAGCTGTGTCAGCATTTTCAACGCATTGAAATTAAAGGGAAAAGAAGTCGGAAAGTGCCGGTTCTTTTGACTCCTGAAATGATTGCTTCGATGGAGGTGCTGGTGGAGAACAGAAGGGCCTGTTCCATCTCTGACCATAACCCATACTTCTTTTCCCGCCCGGGCGCAGACACCCACATCAGGGGATCAGACTCCCTACGCCAGGTAGCCAAAGAATGTGGTGCGGTGCATCCAGAGATGCTATCCTCAACCAAACTTAGAAAGCACATAGCTACTATGTCTACAGTTCTCAATATGAAAGAGAATGAGATGGACATACTTGCCAACTTCCTCGGCCATGACATTCGCATCCACAGGCAATATTACAGACTACCAGAGGGGACACTGGAGCTGGCCAAAATCAGCAAAGTGTTGATGGCCATGGAGCAGGGAAGAGTGACGGAATTCGAAGGAAAGAGCCTCGACCAGATACAAATTGAGCCTGAAGGTAATTCTTGATATTATTAAAATATGTATGATTTTTTTCCCCTAAAGGCCACTTGTATTTTTATTTTCTGTGCGACAGGGAGAGCAGTAGAGATCCTCTCACAAACGGACGGGCTAAAAGAAACTTCAAGCGGAGAACCTTCAACCATTCATCCAGATGCACCCCATGGTAGTGGCAGTGCCCCTTCTGGTAAGTGTACCAGGTGGGGGATTACAGCCAGGCTGCTTGGTCCTCACCCTGGGAGTGTATATTGCTAATATATTTTTATTTCTCTCCCTAGAACGTGTAAGAAAGCCATGGTCTGCATCTGAGGTGAAGGCTGTGGAGAAGACCATGACACCTTTCATACAGACTGGAAAGGTCCCTGGGAAGTCTCACTGCCTGGCCTGCATTAATGCCTCACCAGATGACCTTAGACATCGGACATGGAGTGGCATTAAATTCTATGTCAAAAATAGAATCACTGCAATTCGAAAACAAAATCTAAAATAAAATTCCTTTAAAATAGTTGTTTGGTTTCTATTGACTGTTTTGTATTACTTAAAGTCTTGGTAAAAAAAGATTATGTCTATGGGTCCCATTCTGAACGGCCCTGTCAAAGGGACCCACCAGGTAACAAAAACGTGTATGTGTGTGTGTGTGTGTGTGTCTGTGTGTGTGTGTGTGTGTGTCTGTGTGTGTGTGTGTGTGTGTGTGTGTAAGTGTGTGTGTGTGTGTGTGTGTGTAAGTGTGTATGATTTGCATTGTTGTCAGTTTTCTCCATCGGCTCTTCTCGTTCATGACCTCCTCTGGGTTTTAAACAGATCACTGGATACTACATTAATTCGACCTTGTGCCGATAAAAGAGAGAGACCCAAGAGAGAGAGAGAGAGACCAGAGAGAGAAGAGAGAGGTCAGAGAGAGGTCAGAGAGAGACCAGAGAGAGACCAGAGAGACCAGAGAGAAACCAGAGACACCAGAGAGAGACCAGAGAGAGGTCAGAGAGAGGTCAGAGAGAGACCAGAGAGAGACCAGAGAGAGGTCAGAGAGAGACCAGAAAGAGACCAGAAAGAGACCAGAGAGAGACCAGAGAGAGGTCAGAGAGAGACTATAGAGAGACCAGAGAGAAACCAGAGAGACCAGAGAGAGACCAGAGAGAGACCAGAGAGAGGTCAGAGAGAGACCAGAGAGAGACCAGAGAGAGACCAGAAAGAGACCAGAAAGAGACCAGAGAGAGACCAGAGAGAGACTATAGAGAGTGAGTACCATGTGTCGACAGATCTGGTCCGTGTCTCTGTAGTGACCTCCTGTTTATGCAACAAGGATCTGAAAAGCTTGTGTTTACATGTTCTCTCTGTGCAGATGTGGAGATCAGATGGCGGCTACGCTAATGGAGCTAGTGCTGAGTAATGGACCCCTGCACCCTCCTCCCCCCTCACCCCTCCCTCCCCCCGTCACCCCTCCCTCCCCCATCCACCAGGAAGCTAACAGGATGCACTCTGGGAAACGGCTTATTGGAATTTCTTTGATGAGCCGAGGTTTTGAGTTACAGACGATCTCTGTTTGAGGATGAGTGATCTGTTTTTCTCTCCCATGGTTCAGCTCAGTCTGTGTTTGGAGGGAGCAGCGGCTGCAGTCAGAGCTCCATGTCTCCTCTCTCACCTCTGGTCATGAGCTTTGGGGAATGATCGAAAGTGTGAGATTGTTGATACAAGAACGACACATGAATGATAGAGTGAAGTGTCTTGCTGGACTGTCTCTCTGGTGTCTCTCTCTGGTCTCTCTCTCTCTGGTGTCTCTCTCTTTGGTCTCTCTCTGCTCTCTCTCTAGTCTCTAACTATCTGGTCTCTCTCTAGTCTCTCTTTCTGGTCTCTCTTTTGTCTCTCTCTCTTTTCTTTCTCCCTTCTCTCTCTTACATCTCTCTCTTGTCTCTCTCTCTGCTCTCTCCCTCTGGTCTCTCCCTCTGGTCTCTCTCTCTTGTCTCTCTCTCTGCTCTCTCCCTCTGGTCTCTCTCTCTGCTCTCTCTCTCTCTGATCTCTCTTTGGTCTCTCTCTCTGCTCTCTCCCTCTGGTCTCTCCCTCTGGTCTCTCTCTCTGGTCTCTCTCTCTCTGGTCCCTCCCTCTCTGGTTTCTCTCTCTTGTCTCTCTCTCTGGTCTCTCTCTGGTCTCTCTCTCTTGTCTCTCTCTCTTGTCTCTCTCTCTTGTCTCTCTCTCTCTGGTCTCTCTGGTCCCTCTCTGGTTTCTCTCTCTTGTCTCTCTCTCTGGTCTCTCTCTGGTCTCTCTCTCTTGTCTCTCTCTCTTGTCTCTCTCTCTCTCTGGTCTCTCTGGTTTCTCTCTCTTGTCTCTCTCTCTGGTCTCTCTCTGGTCTCTCTCTCTGTTCCCTCCCCCTGGTCTTTCTCTCTGGTCTCTCTCTCTCTCTGGTCTCTCCTGGCTGCATTGTACAAAGTGCCTGTAAAGGGAAGTCTGTGTCTCTGCTCAGAGGGCTGCCATGGTGACCCGGCCCTGGGTAAAGCGGCAGAGGATGTCTGTTGGTTCAGGGCTGTGTACAAAGTATCTGTAACAAGTCGATACGAAGACCACGACTGAAACAGAGACTGCATCGATCCCGGGATGGACTGAAACTTGAGTCTTCTTTACACAAATAGACTTTTATCGTGTGGCTCCATCTTTCTCACTGAAGTCCAGAGGGCGACCGGGCGTTTGCAATTTCTCCCTGTGTCTGTGTAGGTTTCCTCCAGGTGCTCCAGTTTCTCCGACCAGTAAAAAACGTGTGCCATGGGTAAGGTTCGAATCAGTGTGTTTTTGAGCGTGGGACTCTGGTCTCTCTCTTTGGTCTCTCTCTGGTCTCTCTCTCTGGTCTCTCTCTTTGGTCTCTCTCTGGTCTCTCTCTCTAGTCTCTCTCTGGTCTCTCTCTGGTCTCTCTCTCTGGTCTCTCTCTGGTCCCTCTCTCTGGTCTCTCCCTCTGATTTCTCTCTCTGGTCTCTCTCTGGTCTCTCCCTCTGATCTCTCTCTCTGGTCTCTCTCTGGTCTCTCCCTCTGGTCTCTCTCTCTGCTCTCTCTCTGGTCTCTCCCTCTGATCTCTCCCTCTGGTCTCTCTCTCTGCTCTCTCTCTCTCTGATCTCACCCTCTGATCTCTCTCTCTGGTCTCGCTCTGGTCTCTCTCTCTGGTCTCTCTCTCTGCTCTCTCTCTCTGGTCTCACCCTCTGATCTCTCTCTCTGGTCTCTCTCTGGTCTCTCTCTCTGGTCTCTCCCTCTGGTCTCTCTCTCTGCTCTCTGATCTCACCCTCTGATCTCTCTCTCTGGTCTCACCCTCTGATCTCTCTCTCTGGTCTCTCTCTGGTCTCTCTCTCTGGTCTCTCTCTCTGCTCTTTCTCTCTGGTCCGTTCAGATTCATAAAATAACTTGTTTTTTCCCAGGTGGTGCCGGAGGGGGGGTTTCTCTCTGAGGTTAAAAGCTTTGATCCTGGAGAAGAACAGCTCAATGGGATCTGGTCTGAGTGGAATGTGAGAGCGTGTAGCCCCGTCCCACCTGGTCCTGGTCCCGATCCTGGTCCTGCTCCTGGTGCCGTATTACGTGTTGTACATTGTGTGTACAGTAGAGTTGTCGGCTGAATGGGGAGAGGCCTCGGGCGGGTCATCAATCATCGTCACAGAGACCGGGACGACACCGAAGCCTTTTACTCACCGCTAACACACCGCAGCTAGCATCTGCGGCTACGCAATGGACAGGAAACAGATATCTGAGCAGAGAGACCAGAGGGAGAGAGACCAGAGAGGGAGAGACCAGAGAGAGAGAGCAGAGACCAGAGAGACCAGAGAGAGACCAGAGAGAGACCAGAGACCGACCAGCGAGAGAGCAGAGTGACACCAGAGAGAGAAAAGAAATAGACCAGAGAGGGACCAGAGAGAGACCAGAGAGAGACCAGAGAGGGACCAGAGAGAGACCAGAGAGAGACCAGAGAGAGACCAGAGAGAGACCAGAGAGGGACCAGAGAGAGACCAGAGAGATACAGTTCCTTCTTTTTCTAATAAACCACTAATTTCAATGTTTAAAAGTTCATTCACAATAAATTCTCTGTTTCCAGCTCCTTTAATTATCCATATTTTAGGAAGTGCTTTGAATTATACTTTTATTCTTTCTTTGTCGCTAATAACAAAATTCTGAAAATTACGAGACAAGAAAGTGAAAAGAGAAATTAGGCTCCGTCAGACAAACACATTATTTAAAAAGTATCTTTATTAACACAAGACCCAGGACTGCGGCTGTAGACCCAGGACTGAGGCTTTAGACCCAGGACTGAGGCTGTAGACCCAGGACTGAGGCTGTAGACCCAGGACTGAGGCTTTAGACCCAGGACTGAGGCTGTAGACCCAGGACTGAGGCTGTAGACCCAGGACTGAGGCTGTAGACCCAGGACTGAGGCTTTAGACCCAGGACTGAGGCTGTAGACCCAGGACTGAGGCTTTAGACCCAGGACTGAGGCTGTAGACCCAGGACTGAGGCTGTAGACCCAGGACTGAGCCTGTAGACCCAGGACTGAGGCTGTAGATCCAGGACTCAGGCTTTAGACCCAGGACTGAGGCTGTAGACCCAGGACTGAGGCTTTAGACCCAGGACTGAGGCTGTAGACCCAGGACTGACGCTGTAGACCCAGGACTGAGGCCAGAGAGCGAGACAAGAAACAGATCATTTTCATAGATTAATACTTCTCCAGTGTTGTTGCGGTCTCTCCTCATTCCCTGCCTCTGACCTTTTGTTTCGCGACATCACACTCACAGTGTGTTGCTGCACGAGGCGGCGGTCGCTGCAGGGCTTTGAAACCATCACTGTCTCTGAAGCTGCTTTAGACTGAGAGACATGTGACATCACAGGCTCATGTTGGCCCTGTTTCCACCAACCTACTCTACTCTACTCTACTCTACTCTACTCTCCCCTGATTGGGAGTATTGCAGGGCTTAAAGTTTTCCGGCACCGTGCCGGAAATCCGGCGTGAGAAAAAAAAAAAAATATATCACTTTTTTTTTTTTTTTTATATATATATAAATAAATAATGATTGCTGTCATTTGAAAAAGGTTCAAGTGTGTTCTACCAATTGTATGAAAGGATTGCATGTGTATAGCGCAGGGATTAAAGAGTTCCGTCTAAGTGACGGATTTCCGTCAAATGAAATTGGTCTGAAAAAAAAACAAAATATATAATAATAATATAATACACACAATGAAATGGTTAATTATAACAAAATATATAGTAATACGTGTGAATCTGTTGTATATATCTAGATATATATTAATAATTTGAATATAATTGTATTTATATGTATATAGAAATAAAAAGTAATATAATCACGAGTGGGCCTTGAACGTGCCGTGGCTAGCTACATGAGCGCTCCGCAAATGATTCAAGGCAATGGGACGTAGCCAAGTTAGCGATGGTAACACGGAGGTGAAAGTTTCTGAAAAGTGCACGGAGCTTTTGAAAAGGAGAAGAGGACAAGGAAAATGTAATCCCGAACGGAGCAATAACAGCCCGCAGCCCGCGGACCGGTAAACTGGGCGCGTTATCAGAGGAAAGGTAGGACCAGTGGCGGCTGGTGGAATTTTCTACTGGGGGGGCTATGAATATGATGACTAGATATATACCAGCAGTAAGTAAGTTTACACTGACTGTTGTGACTGAAGCCTCACACGAGAATCAACAAGGTCACATGATGCTTTCTGATCCCTACCCTGTAGCTTTCATCCAGCTGGGATGAAATATTTATCTTCCCAAACATAGCTAATTTGAGGGCATTTTGCATGTGGATACCAGTCTGCTCATGCT